GAGGCTGTAGACCAGTTTGGGATGATTGCTCCCCTCCACGGCTCCCCCCCACAAACACCTGCCTTCAGGCTGGGGGGCAGAGGAGCTCCTGGTCTGCCCAGCGCCTGTGCATAAGGTAGCCTGTTTGACATGCAGAGACTTGCTTTGTAGGAGGAAACAAGTGTGGTCCTAATGGTCATCCAGGCCAACCAAGAGCTGCATCACCTTCTGGAAGTGCCTCTCGGACCTCGTGCCGTGGGGTGGGATGGACCGGGCAGAGCACCTACGGGACCTGGGACCAGTGGGTCGAGTGTCCATATCAGGGCTTGCTGTTCCTGGCTGGGAAATCATTTCTTCCCTTCTCTAAATTAAGGATCATCTCTGCTGGAAGAGTAAAATCAGGGCTCCTTGAGCCCTTGGTGAGGCTGAGAGATGGAGAGTGAAATTCCGTTATGTTAGGGAAATCGAAAATCTCCTATTGATTTCAGGATTTATTCTACAGTATTTTTGTATAATAAAAGTACTTTTATTCCTGTTTTCTCCCCCCCCATCCTACAACACGTTGCAAACACACAAAGGGTTGTGGAGCTCAGGCTGGGCAGATACTGGCCATCCTTATGGCCCCACTGTGCTTTCTTTGTGGCCACCCAGTAAGAAGTGCTGGATGCTGGCTGTTAATAGTGTGGCCCAGGTCTGCAGCCTGACCCCCAGCACTCTACACATTTTCCACAGGGACAACATTTCCACACAGAGTTCAGATGCAAAGGCAACATCATAAAGCAGCCCAGGAAATGATAAGATGAAAAAATATGGATGAGTCGATCACTATTTTAAAAAATACTTTATTAAAAATTTTATATCAATTTAGGTATTTAATAATTGCTTTCATTCTTTGATAGATATCAGAAGGTGTTTTGCCCTCCAGAATGGAACTTTCGCTTTGAAAATGTTGGAATGAAACATTCAAAATTAAGAAACGCCTTTCTTAACATTTTTCCAGAGGTAAAAATATTTTTCCTTAAAATTTTTCCATGCACCCAAGCCCTTCCTCAAAAATGATTTGGTTTTTATACACCCCACGTTTTCTGATTAGTTCATCAGAAAATCCCCAGCCCTTTCTAACTGCAGAGGAAGAGAGAGGGGGTTGGAATGATTTATTGGTGGCTTTCTTGCCATTTCTTCTTTCTTTTTTCCCTTTCTTTTCTTCTAGTATATGTGTGTCCTCTCTATTAACAAGGCTGTCCATTGCATCGTATAAAATCTATATGAACAAAATGCTCACACAGAAGGAAACTAGAAAGCTAATTTACACTTTGAAGCCAGAGTGGGTCAGAATCTTATATTTAATAAACATGTTTTTTCTAAAGAGTAAAGGATGTATTTTTTCTATAGTCTAGTTTGTAAGACTAAGAAGTCTTACGAAAAAACATTCCTATTACAAGAATTTTAGTTTTATCTAATTTTTTCCCTAAGCAACGGGGAAATAGAGAAGCAAGGGAGGTGCAGAGGGCTGAGCGGGGCTGGAGGAGTTTGCTCCTTTGGTAGCCCCCACAGCCTGCTGCTGTGAGGACCCGGCACCTTCTGGGCTGGCTGGACACAATGGGGTTGATGCCTAATTACAAAAAGTAATCAAGCTGAACGGAAGGAAGCATAAGGGGGCTGTAGCCCCATCACGTGCGGTCGCCGTCCCTGGCAAGCCTGGGTGCTCCCACCACGTGCCGCTGGAGCAGCTGCACCGTCCCCGTCCCTGCAGCTGCCCGTGCCCCAGGACGGTCCCATTGTCCCTCACGTCCAGGCATTTTTCAGATCCTAATGGTGATGAGCACGTGCCTGGGGGTGTGCCAAGGAGAAGGGAAAGCTCGTTGCACGGCGAGATGTTTTGACCTTGCAAACTCAATTCCTATTCCGCAGGCTAAGAATTTGGAAAATGTTTGGCTGGGCACATAGCAGCCCGTGAGGAGCCAAGGCTGGGCACCAGCGCTGCTCTGCCGCAGCCACGCAGGGGTTTTTCTGCCAACGGGACCGAGAATTGCTGAGGACACCTTCCAAATGGCAAACAGCGCTAACTTGCGAATACGCATTAGCATAAATACAGCAATGCCAAATACAGCTGACTAAAAAGCACACACATAAATGTGGAAGTGCGCGTTAATCCCTTTTTTTAAAATACACGAGTGCCCACTTTGCATTTTAATTTTATACGGTTGCAGTGCAATCTGCAAAAAAAGTCCTCGCTTCTGGTGTGCAAACCCTTGTCTTCACCGAGCTCCTTCAAGCGTTGCCAAAGCTCTCCCGTCAGTCGCGTTCAGCTTTGAGATCTAGATCACAAGAATAGGCGGCAACTGATTTTTCTCGTCACTTCAGGACAGGTTTAACCAGTATTACGTGTTAGTTAACTGGCAACTGATTGAAATTACACTTATTGAAGATTAATTAGGTGATGGATATATTGCACTTCGTATTTAATCAACCATTTTATGTTCAATACAAAGAGGTCATCTCACTGCAGCAATCGTTGCCCGTGAAGCAACCAAACGACTGCGAGATGGCTGTGTTATTGCAGTTCAAAACTATGGAGAAAAAGTCGGTATGCTGGGCTGCCGGGGGAGAGGGTTAATACGTGTAGGAATGGGACGAGCGAAGGTGACGGGAGGGTTGGCCAGAAGCACCTACGTGCAAAGGCGTTGCAGTAGCAGGGGTTGCTTCCAGCAGAGATGATAACTAAACGTGGGAGGGCGAGTAAGTGGCCGGGGAGGGACAGTGCGTGTCTATTTGTGCGGAATTACAGGGCTGAGGAGGGCTCGTTTCGCGGGCGGCACTGCCGAGAGAGCGCGGGAGGAGCGGAGCTGCTCGCTGCTCCCCCGTGGGCATGCCAAGGGTTTCGGTGGGAGGCTGTATCATCTCAGAATGATAGAATGATTTTTTTTTTTTTTTTTTTTTTTTCTCCTCTCCCTTAGCTGACTAAATAGTTTGCTTGGAAGAAAAGGGATGGTTAAGCAGGCCAGAGGCATGATGTATATTTTCACTTCCCTTAAAACGGCCTTTGTACTGCAGCTCTCCCATCGGATGCCCATCCACCACTCCCTGTCTGAAGGCCACACAATGATGTTTCTACCTGCCAAGAGCAGCGTTCAGCCCTGCTTGGAGGACTTTCATCCCTTTATACAAACGTCAGAAGGCATTCTTCCGCTTTAGCGACCAACCAAGAGGTAAACCTAACCTTTGAGACGACCCGCTGGCCCTGTCCTGCAGCCCCCCGTCGCCTTGCTCACCCACCGCCTGCCCCGCCGTGCCAGACGCAACGTCTTCTGCCCTCCTTGCGCTCTTGCCCCTTGCAGCCCCGTACCAGCTCTAACGGGGCTGGGGGGACTGTGGCTGAGTTTCGACCTTGCATGACGGCAAGACTGCAACCTGGCTCCCCTTTCCTTTCTCCACGTGTCGGTGCGGGGACTCTTCTGGGCAGGGACCTCTTTCCTGGATCCTCTCGGATGCCTCACGTGCTCGCGGTCAGATTAAACAAACAGCAGCTCTGCCCCTGCAACAGTGAAGGTCTAATGTATTATTTAAAAGCTATCCCAGCCTGCATTCCGTATTTTCTTCCATATTTAAGGAAGAACAATGCAGAGGATAGAATAAATTATTATAATTTGAAGTCTATCGTGCTCATAGAAGAAGAGCGAGCATATTCATCAGTCCATATGCCTCAACAGTTGGCTAGAAGTGTAGTCAAAATTTTACCAAACCCTCTCCAGTTTCCCTAACCAGTGTGCAGTTTCTCTGAGATACCCATATGTTTGCAGTTAACTTTAACTATTAAATTGATTTGGAAATTAATTTGGCAACCCAAAATCCCATAGGATAAGGAAGTCAACATCTTCCTCTATCCCCCTTTTTAGAACAGGTCATGACTTAGGCTAAGGTTAGAAAATCAGAACTTGAATTTTCACTGTAATTTAAATTTCCTCCCCCAGCCTCCTGGCATGTCACAGGAATATAGTTATTGCCCTACAGAAATTATAATTTTCCTAGTCTGGCATCCCGCTCCTGGCAGTGATCTACAGCAGATGCTCCAGCAGAAGACAAAATCGTTAGGAACCAAATGGCAATGAAATTCCATGCAGGAATGTCCTCATCCCCACGAGACACTTCTTCCACAGCAGGCTCGGGCGGTGGGAGGGGTATGGATGCTATATAGTCCGCTTTTCTGTGGGCGGAAAGAGAACATCTTTCTACAACTGCATAGCAAGGCACTCCAGGTACATTGGTATGTACACCTCATTTTAATGCTCCTTGTCTAGCTAGATGTGGACCTGCCTGATTTAAATGTGTTTGCATGGGTTGATTGCATCACTTCTGAGACCACCAAGATATTTAAGATCTCACCAATATGTTAATGTTATTGCTTGAATCTCTGGGGTTACTCTGTGGGAAAGCTGCACTAGCATTTTGATCAGAGGAAGCAGGAGCTGGAGGAGACGCATATTCCAGAAATGCCACTTCTGTACTGCGCTTGCGAGGACACGGCTAAAGGTATCTCACAGCAACGGCTGCGGAAACTGCGGATCCATGACATGGTGAAGATTTTCGAGTTCAGATCTGCTCAAGCCACGCGCAGCCTTTCTGTTAATCTCAAGCACAAACGGGCTTTTAAAAGCTCTCCAGTGTCCTGGGCAGTTCTGTAGCCTAGCCACTCGTGACCTACGGACACTGCCTGACCAGCCGCGGCTAAAGGGTCTCTGCCCCTCTGAAATGAACAGCCATGTGTTTCTTTGGAAATCTTCCTGCTCTGTCTCAATAGCTATTTGTCATGTTCCTTAATGCCACAGCTGTTTGGTTACGCCAGGTCATCTGCTTTTATTAGTCCTGTTCCCACCACCCTCTGAAACTCACACCAGCCCGGAGAAGATTATCATCCGTGTCCAAAAATAGCACTTCTCTCGTCCCCCTCTTCCAGTGACCCTGGAAACTTCAGTGTTTTCCTTCTTTTCTGATTTCCAATTCTGCTGCCTACCTGCTGCCCCATGAAGGCTGGAGTAGCTGCCCTCGCAGCCGGGATCCTCGGCGGCACCGGCGTGTTGCTCTTCCTCATCGCTTTCGGGACGGATTACTGGCTTCTAGCTACGGAGACCTGCGGCGTCTTCGAGCATGGGAACAGCACTCTGCGGACCGGGGAGGTAAATGCTGAAATTTTGTCTTACTTCGGAAGAATTGACTATTTAAATAATTTAAAACTTTCAATTTTTAAAGTTTTAAATCTGTGGTAATATTTATAATCATTGTAAGTGACCTGCTAATGTAAAATGTCAGCCTGAGCTAACTTTAAAATCCAAACCAGCATTTCCATAGTATCTAGCACTTTGACTAAAGTAAAGTGCATCTAGGAAACGTTAAGACAGCACCTCTGCAATCTGGCAGATATGAACATGAGGGAATGAAAGGCAAAATTGTAAGAGCTTTACTTATTGACAGCATTTGCCTCCAAAGACAAAAGATATCTCCTGATATTTGCCATTAAAAGATTTCTCCCTCTGTAGTTTCTTCATTTAAAAACAGTTCGTATTTTAAAGTGTAGGGCTTGGCAATCATTTACATCTGAAGTGATATGCCTACAGCACAGACAGAAAACAAAAGCGAGCATCAGATGCAGAACAGAGTAGACAAGAATTCCTGCCCATCTAACAAGAGGCCTATATATTTTAATATTAACATTTATATAGAATTTTAGTTAGCAGAAAATGTAATTTTCAAAGGACAATTTGGTATTTTAGTGCTAACTGCTGGTATCACTTGTTTATAGATCCTTTCGAAAGTTTGAGTTTAGCTGCACTTACTATTGTCTAATTCTTCAGCGAAATAACAACCAGATCAGTTCCCTGAGCCACCCACTCTTCAAAAATGTTTTTGTGCCCATCAATGTGTGGTTTCAATTACAAAATGACAGGAAGATCCTTGTTGTGTGCAGACTTTTTGTTACTTCAAAGTTCAATCCAATTAGGCTTGATTTTTTTTCTGGTGTGGTGAGTCACACTGGGTAAGCATCATGATGCCAGCAAGAAATATTTTCTTTCATTTCAGAATCCCATAATCAAAGGTAGGACACTGTTTGCTTGAGTCGTGTCTCAAAATGACTTTAATGGGAAAAAAAATTATGATAGAAGAACTGCCTGGCAGAAGACACTGTCTTTACTGTTTAAAGCAGCGCAGTAAAGCCCTGGAGCTGGCAGAGAGTCACGGACGGAGGAGTGCCGCTCAGTTTTTGTGCACTTGGGAAATGACAATGTTAATTGTTTCAGATTTGTGTTTGTGCTCTCGTCTTTTAAAGTGGAGAGACTAGAGACATTGCACTGCACGACATGAATGAGCATCTCAAACATCCCAGATACACTCTTGACCAAGTATCAACGTGCCTGTCACTAAGGCAGAGCGACTTCAAAAGCGCCAGGCAGAAGTAGGAGCTGCTCTTACTCTTTCCTCTGAGCTATTTTATTTCCATTTCAGACACTGTTTCTATTATTTCTATTTCAGTTACCAGTTGTGTACTACAGGCTGTGTTTTTACCTTCTCTGCCCTTTCTTAAGCTGGTAAATCCTGTCCCTTACAGATAAGGATGGTCTCGAGCATCTGCCAAACAGTGATTAAATGTGCCGTAGATGCACTAAGTCAGCAGCCATCCAGCTGATGAAGTTTGAGGGCTGCATGTTAACTTTGTCATAGTCAGTATTTTATCCTGAAAGGAAAAGGAGAATCAGGTCAGAGCTCTGGAATTGGTCATAACTTGATGCATAAAAACCTCGAGGCGAGAAAAGTATCTTCTAGCACCTCCCTGTTGAGTCCCATCTCCTTTCTCCAGTTCACAGGGTCCAATCCTGTATGGAGTTTCTCCATCCTCCACAAAATGTAATTTTATAACAGTCATGTCTCCTTTACCAAATTGTATGTGATAAAGGCGAAATTGATTTTGGCTATAGTTTTAATAAGTTTTTTGGTAAATAGTCCATGACTCAGCTTTGCAATATCTTCCTTCTGGAAAGACCTAAACCTTGTGCTCGCAGGTCTGGTCTGGGGGTTGAAGTAGATTCACCGAAAAAGGAAAAATTGTCAACATTCCTGTCCTGGTCTGTGAGAAGACTGGTGTGGGCAGAGTGATTTCTGTCTCATGTAGGGTTAGCATAACTTGTACTGGGCTCAGCAGAGGGAGAGAAAGAAGAAAATCTTTGGGCTGGTGATTGGAAGAGGCTCAATGGGAGTGTTAGAGTTGGGCTGTCTTCTGGGGTTAAGCCAGACCTCACGTGGATCCTGCAGAGTAGCAAGGACATCTGAACTGTTGCGTTGGGTGACCCCTAAAATTGCTTACCTGGTAATCAACCTCCTTCCAACTGGTTACAACAGCAGTAAAATTTACTTAAGGAAAGGATTTAACAAGTAGAATACGCCCAGGATGCTCTGCTGCCTGGCATACCCCTCCAGCTCTGGCAATCAGTGGTTTAAAGATATTAGAGAAAGAAGAAACTGTTTTGTGAAGGTCTGCAGGATGATTTGTTATCAGAACATTTTGTAGCTCTGATATGGCAGAAAGTCAAGGACAGCAGCTGCCTCTCTGTTCCCAAGCCCTCCAAAACCAACTGAAACAACCACAAATGAAAACCCCAACAAAAAATGAAAGCAACAACTGTCTAAGCAAAAAACACACACTTTTCACCATGATCATCCCTGTATCAGCTTGGGCTTTTATTCCTCCACAGGCTGAAACGCCGGCAGAGGTCAGGAAGGAGATCCTCACTTTTCATCACGAGGGCTTCTTCTGGCGGTGCTGGTTCTTTGGCGAGGGCCACCCGGAGACCATCTGGACCTTCTGGTACAGTGAGTACGATGCCACCGCACCACATTCACAGCATTCGCTCACGGTTTGAATTGCAAACAAGCACAACAAAGGCTCCCAGGGATGAGGAGACAGTTGTCTTTATTTTATTTCTTCTTATTTTTTTTCATTCTCATCGTCTCTCTATCAAAAGCAAACTTGGCTCACCCTTTCTGTGCTCTTTTTTTGACTTGGATTTTGCTCTCAGAGGGTTGTTCACAGAAATGTAGGAACCTCTTGATGCCATTTAATATATCACCTGCAAAGTCTTATGGAGCGGTTGCTTCCACCAGCAAAGACAACTCTCCCCCCATATCTGTTGATGTTTGTGTTCAGCTAAGGTCTGCTAAATTTGAGCCCATGCCTTTCCTGGCCCTTGGCATTGCTCTTCTCTTAGTGTTTTCAGCCGTCAGAGTGTTCCCACCTCCCACTGATTTCAGGATGGGGAAGGCTGGACACGCACATGTGTGGTCTCCCTGGGTGCTCAGGACCTCTGGCAGTGGGCAGTGGTGGGCCATGGAGAGCCGTAACCACATGTGTTTATGCTCTTAAGCACACAAGACCTTTATTTTAAGACCTTGCCTGGTTTGCTTTTTAAGGTCATTGAAATTACACGTGTGAATAAACAGAGACGGATGCAAAATCATTGTTTTCCTGCAAGCACATTCACTCTTCAAAAAAAATTGAAGGAGAAGGTGAAACCTGTTCTGAGACACCAGTTGGTGCTGACTGGTGGCCCACGGGCAGTGAAGTGTGGGGTCTTGGCCCAGTGAACCAGGTGCTCCCACCAGAAAGAGCAAAGGAGCGAGACCACCCCACAACACGCCTGGCACCAGCCTTGCCGGTGACTGAGCCAGCAACCAGCATTAGCGCACAGTGGGTAATTAGAGGGCAGCCTTTTCCTGGGATGCCACAACCCTAGAGAAATATTGGGGATAAAAAAAAAAAAAAAAAAATATTTTTAAAAAGTTCTGCAAAGGCTTGAAACGCTGCAGAAGCCTTGACCCTGCACTCGCTTACGTGCTTGTGGAGCAGCGTGATCGCCTCACAGGGCATCTGGCTGCAAATAATGCAGGTTCCCACAATAAATTTACTCCACGGTGATTAAAATTTCAGATGACTTTGCTGTCCCCCAGTCCCTGACCTGTGTTTCCTGTAAAATCTTGCAGGAGCAGTTACTGCCACCGTTCAACTGAACAACGTGAGATCTCTCGCACAGAAATTTTTTGATCAAAAGGGACAGGCTTGAGAGAGGGAGTTTGCTATCTAATTACATTATATGGAAATACATGATATAACATCATGTTACCTGAAGTAAAATGACTCTTTCTGATAACTGGCAAATTTGTGTTACTTCTTTAGGTATTTATTATAATAGGATTGATCACGGCAAATTAATTTGCTGCTCTCATGGATGTAATAATTAATTCAATAGGTATTCCATAGTCAATTTAGCATGAACTAATGTCCACCTATTATAAAGTGTTCCTTTGAGCTGGGGAACATATTTAAATAAGTGGCCAACCATTAATTAATTCATTTAACATTCATTCTATTACCGTTAATCATGATAAGCCTCAGTGGTATTAATATTGATGGAGCACTTCCATTCTAATTGTGCTTTCCCTTCTCACAAACTGGGGGTCTTGTAAGGTAGCTTGTTCTGGTACCCAAACACCTTTCCCCCTTCCAGGCGGTCTGACACATTTTCTGGAGGAAAATAGCAATGGGAATATTTTCAGTAATTTGAGTTGCTCCATCTTTCATGATTTATGTCCACCTCGGACTCAGGTTATGAAGATGAGGAGATGTATGGGTAGCAGCCTCAGATCCTGTTATGTCTCCCCTCTCTCATCAGTCTTCTTTTTCTTTTTTCTTTCTAACTAGGATTTACTATCCTCCTTTACTCCCCAGCCTTCTGCCTTCAGTGAGGGTTTTGTAGGATTTGCAGACTAGGGCCTTGCCCTCTGAATACTGTAACGGTGATCTTGCAGAAAATACAAGCAAACCGTTTTTTTTTCCTGTTGTTCTTTTTCAGCCAGCCAAGCACACCCCAAGTTCTGCATGCATGGCTACCTCTTTCCCATGCCCGTTGCTCTCGGACCTTTCCCCCACCCTTCCTACGACACGACCGCAGGTGGGTTTCTTTCCTGCTCCCCCAGCAGCTCCTTTCCCAAGCGACCGGGCAGAGATTTACGATGTGTGTCACTGCTGTGGTTCTCCCATTGCAAACGCATGTGGCCAAGCATGACCAAGACTTCTGGAAAGCTCCTTTACAAAATCGCCTTGCTTAGTTGACTGCCCCAACCCGTGAGGACATCGAGATGTTCTCCCGCGTCTTCTCTCCCCCAGAGCCATCCGCGCCTGGCCATGAGCTGTGCACCCTCCCGCTGGGTGCTCGGTGCCTACTCCTATGAGCAAGGGAGGATGCGAAATCCATCCTCTCCCTTCTCCCACCTCCTCGCTCCCTGGGAGGAGCTGGAGGCAAAGGGCTTCTGCCCCATGGCCAAATCCAGACCCTGCGGGCAAGAAACGCAGCTAATTTCTCCTGGGCTGCAGGCTTGTGGCAGTCCGGCGCTGACTCGTTTCCAGAGTCTGGCTTCCTGGGAGAGCTCTGGTGTTGATTTGTTGCAAGACAAAATAAACAAGCACTGGAAAATCAGTTAAAGACCAAATTGTTAGAAGATCCACGTAAGTGACTGGCTTATTTTTAATACACTGAATACGACGCAGTTGGAGAGCTCTCTTTTCAACCGGTTCCCTTTTTATTTATGTTTCTCTGTATTTTCAGAGTTCTTTAATGAATCAGCTGCTGTTAGGAATTTTAATTTGCTAAATTGGTGGCAGCAGCAAGAATTAATTCAATGATCTTTTTTGAAATGAATTGATTTCTTTAAATAGTGTGCATCACTCTGCCTTGCCTCCGGGGATCCGGGGCAGGCATACTGCACAAACAAACATCTTGACCTTTTCCTTAGCCTTTAGCAGTACCTTTTTTATTTTTATATTTTTTTTTTATGAGGAATTAATTAGAAAAAAAAACCACGTTTGTCAGTAGGAGCATGTTGAGGGAGGGCAGCTAGTTTCTTGTGCTGTGCTGTGCAGGATTCCTGCCTCGGGGAACACGCCGCAGTGTAAAATGGATACGAGGGACCTGTCGATGGTCGAAGGAGGAGCCCGTCGCAGGCTGTGTGCAGCAAACAGGCAGGTGAAGCGGTGGGATTTTTTCAGCTTAGGAGAGGCAGGCATGACGTCTGCTTTCCGAACGATCTCGCTGATAAACACACTATTTTTTCCGTACTAAATAAAGGGCCCTGGAGGCATCTGTCCCTGCCTGTCAGCCCTTGCTATGAAACCCTCTTCAGCTGCCTCTCCGCAGTGCCCACTGGGACGGGTCCCGGGAGGGTGCAGGAGGGGCTCTGCACCCAGGGGTGCTGGGGGGCTCTGCCTGGAGGCTCCCAGCACCCACCCCGCTAGGATCCCTGGGGAGATGAGGATGTCTCAGCACCCACATTTAGGGCTCTTCTGCTGCACCACCCCGCTGCAAAGCATTCGGACATCGGCAAAGAGCAGACGCTTCTGTCGTTAACACTCATTATATTTCAAACCAGTCCATCCTCATATGCAAATGATGACAAACCAGGAGGCTGTCCAAGAAAAGGGGTCCTCCAGCTATTACCTGCTCCAGAGATAATTCTGCCTTATCTGCATCCTCTTAGGCTCCCTGAGAGAAACGAGTGACGGGAGGTTAAACATGAAAATGAATTCTGTGGTTTTGGAGAGTTCAAGATACTTATCTCTCCCTAAGTGGCTCTCCTGACAAAATGGTTTCAAATGAGTAAAACGCATCTTCTCTGTATCATTTTTCTTTCAAGTGTGAATCATTTCAGCATTACCCACTTGCTCGTGCTTGGCTTAAATCTAACTAGCGCTTCTGAAAAACAACAGGCAGAGCGAGATGTGACGGTCCGAGGGGATCGGGTAAATCAGGGGATCGGGGAGCAAGGTATCAGAGGGTCTCTGCCTGAAGACCACCACCTTTGGCCAAGGTTTACGGCAGTGACTGCAAGAGTCTTGGCTACTGGGAGACTGAAATTAGCGGGCTACGTCCCATCCCGTGGGATGTGATGGATGCAAGCTTGCTCGGCTCTGGCTGGCGTGGTTGCATGAAGTCACAGCAAAGCCCCCAGATTCAGTGGATGAAGAGGCAGTTGTCCTCTTGCCCTGTTCTTTTACTTGGAGTCAAGCAAGGCCATTAATGGGGGAAATCACGAGCTCTTGTTTTCCCTGCAGTCCTGCTAACAAAAACCGCCTTTATTTTAAACCAGGAACCTGACACCTTCCGTAAGTGTTAATTAAAATGGAAGAAAGACATGGTCTGATTCCATCTCTCCAAATTTTGCTATTTTCTTTCCTTTCTTGCCAAGCTCGTCCACCCCCCACAGACACAGCTAAGCACGGTGTCCTCCACTCTCACCCCCTTTTGTGCCGTGCTTCCCTGGCAAACCCTTCCAGCCCCTTGTACTCGTTCCAATCCCATTATGTAGGGCATGACATTCAACCTGAACTTGCACCGGTTCCAGGCACGTTGCACCCATGCCGTGGCAAAGCAGGAGCTCCAGCTCTGCCTAGCACGAGCAGCATTACAGGTTATTGCTTTTACTGTTGCTGAAGCAGGAGTTAAGCATGGACTTCCGAAAACCGCTTTTCCTCTCTTTTCCCCTGACTTTACTCTTTTTGACCGTGCAGTGTACAGAGGCTTCTGGACGGCG